AGAAGCATAGTTAACATTCTGATATAATTTTTTTCAATCTGAACTGATTTAAAACCAAAGCCCACTTGATAATTGTCAAATATTCTTGCAAGTGCATTTTTTCTTTATTTTTTATTATGGTAATAATATATATATTGTGGACACTCTTCGAAAAATGTAGAAACATGAGATCAAAATTTGTAATGTAGTAAGTTAAAATCATTATAGTATCACGGTTTACTATATCGTTGGTGGAAAAACCTACAATAACCAATATGAGCATGATATAGACCTGTCTTCATAGTGATTTGGCCGATGTCATCAATTGTGCTTTCTTATAGGTTTTTGAGAACAGAAAAAAAAAACATTTTCCATCGCGAATGAATAGGATTGGGAGTTTATATACAGATATAAGTTTCAACACGATTTTTTCATTCCTTCATGCATCCTTTTCTCAAAATTATAGATTTTGATTATCTTTGATTTTAAAATATCTAGATAGCCTTAAATATTTGTCGAATTCTTTTATTCTACCTCCAAGTTGTACAGTTTGAATAAAGGTAATCAGAACACCATCAGGAATATACATTTATTTGTAACTGAAAAAGTCAGAAGGTCTGAAAAAGTCAAGAAATCCAAGTAATGAAATGTAAATATTAAGTTATTTTCATTAAAAGTTTGTTTTTTTCAAAGTAAGAAATGTACTTTAACCATAAATGAGGCAATGTTTATATATTATTACTTGAACCTCCTGACCTTCTCATTAAATCATAATAATTTTGTAGGAACAAAGTTGAAAATTTTTTTAAACATAAATATTGTCACTAATGAGGTTGGTTCAGCATTCGAAACTCAATATTTATTTCGATTGAAAATAATAACGACGCTGTTCACCCGAAAAATAAAGTTGATCCGAATTACACGGATTGGAGCGGAACCAGTTTTGCCAGGGGTTAGTATTTCTGATAAATAATCGAGATAAAGCGAAGCCCTAACTCGATAGGAGTTATCCGACGGAGGCAAGTATCATTTGGGGGAGGGGGATTGGAAACGAGGAAATGAGATTTCTTCGAGTGGTTTCTGGATTGGGACAAAACTGGGTGCAGACCGCCTGATAGCTACTCCAACGATTTGCTTAGGCCTTCGATTACATTTGGTGGAATGAGACTGTTCCTTTCCTTTATATAGGTTCTGTTGATTCAGTTTATGATGTCCTTGAAATCTCTGAGGAAATCATTACATCCTTCCAATAGACCTTGAATAAATAGTATACAATTTAATGGAATAATCGTATTTTATTGACTCAATAAATTGTAGACGTGTTTTTTACTAATTTAGTTTCAAAGCGTTCTTATAATAATTATATTATTCAGCTTAAAACAATAGAGAAATTTGATATCCTATATTAATTTCTTTAAGGAAGTACGAATTATATACCGTTATCAATCTATATTTGCATGCTATTAAATGATCACTATTTATTTAATAAAATATATGCATACAAATATATGTTTAAATAAATTATAAAAAATATAATTAAAAAAAAATTGACTGCGAAAATAACGTTAATCAATCTGAGTGAATATTTTTTAATCATACCTTCAAAATTTAAGGAATTGTGATTTTTATTTATACAGATATTTCAATAGTATAAACTGAAGGAGTGAGGGTGCTCTCACAACAAGGCCGTCTAATCACGTCTTACCTGTCTATCTGAAACTTTGTTATAAGTTCTAGCTAAATGGAATAAACACGACTAGACTTGGCCAGATGAGTTGGCGTTCTAAGTGCCAGCTCAACCTGATGTACCCTAATTGGTTAGTAATGATAAAAAACAAAACCAATATACAAAAAAACCGCTTCAAATTATTTCAAAATGGTTTATTATTTCCAAACAGCTATACATCTAAAGTAACATTACCTTCCTAATTACAAAGAAAAATAAATAAAAGGTGATTCCAATTATTGGACTAAACTTTTTTTTTTAATCATTAGTAATAAGCGAAAAAAATAGCATTACTTCAGTAACACATTCAAAAATCAAACACTAAAACAAAGAGTATAACTTTTGTAGTATAACATATAAAGAACGTCTATAGACCATATCTTTGCTCCTAATAATCCGATGTTAACGATTTCTTTTTTGTATTTTAGGAAAATCCGTAAACTTTTAAATAACAATATCGACAAAAAGGGTATACTTTTTGAGTTATTCGGAATTAAATTTTACCATCCCTCGTAACTTATTTTCCAGCTTCTTTTCGTTGAAGTATGTTATTTAGATAAATTTAAAGGGCGTCAAGAAAATGACTTTAGCCAAGTTTCATTGAAATCAGTACATTCGTTTAGGAGCTACAGTCTATAGCAACGCAGGTTTTTCGGCCGCCATTTTGAAAGTAAAAGGCGGATAGTAATGTTGATGAAGAAGGATGATCCTCGGGTGACTTCTGATTTCATATCCAAATTTGAAAAAAAAATCGGTCCAGTATTTTCGGAGAAAATGCGCGGACGGCGGACGAACAAAAAAATGTTTATTCGTTTTTCGAATTCTACGCATCCTGAAACGTGAAACCTCAAATTTTGAGAGGTGAATAAGTTTTTGAATTTTCCGATCGATCACAATGGTTGATTATTGAAAATAATCAACCAATATTCCACAGGTATTTAGCTTTACCAAAGGTAGTGAAGCTTTTTATTAATGTGAGATGTTTAAAATAAGTTTATGCTCATAATCGAAAATTTCCATTAGCGTTTCACGTTTCGGGCATTAAGGGTCAAATTTGGTTCGGTGTATGTTTGTCTATCTGTAATTGAATCGGTATAATAGACATTTAACCTATTAACGTTTATTCGATTTTCATAAAGTTTCATGGATTATGCGAGTTGGTACCTAGATGGTACTATATTAATTTTATTAAATACCATCTAGTATTTCCACTTGCACGTATGTACGAGCAAACGTATATTCTCAGATATGCCAATATTTCAGAAAATACTCGTTAGATTCATTTCAAAGATGAAATAATAGTTGGTATTGACAAAAAAATTATGTAGTACCAATTTAATTGGATTCTGCCTCTAATTTCACTTACATATGTACAAACGTGTTTTCATTGATACCACTATATCTCTAAAACCGCAGTTTCGATTTGGCTCAAATTTCGAGGGACGAAAGGAATTGGCAAATAGATAATCAATTATGTTCAGCAAACATATTATTTTGGCACGCCTATAGTTTTAAAACGGCTAGTTCAATTTGATATAAACTTGGAGGAAATCGGAAGAATAGTATAGACATTTTCTAGTATCAATTTCATTGAATTACACAATAATTAAAATTTATAATGATATCTGTTAATAATACTTTGGTTGTGAAATGTAGAAGTCATTGGTCATAGGGAATGATGCGCTAGGTTAGTACAAGATTTTTATGAATTGATTAAACTATTAAAAAGTTAATTTAAACTCTATTGTTTGGTCGATCACATGTTACTGGCATTACACGCTGCCGTTACAAAGAGAGGTTACACAAAATGTTTACTTCCTCGTTGCTACATCGGTTTGTCCGTATTATAAAAATCTGGAGGTATCTGTGTATCTGGAAGGGATATTGGTAGGATCAGTTTTTAAGGAGAAAAAAAAAAGTGGTATTCCTTTTAAGCACCTCAAAAGCCCCTTAAATATGAATTTTTATAGCAATAAAAAAATTGAAATTTTATGCATGAAATTTTGGCATAGACTGCACCCTTCGAAATTTTATCGACTACCACAAAAATGTGATAAGTTTATAACGGCTCCACCAATCGACACGAAAATCACTTGGGTGATTTCTTCCTTAATTTAATTAATTTTAAATAATGTGTATATAGTGTTATTTTTACGTTTCGTAATTTATTTTGTTAGGATTCTATATGAGTCTTCTACTGCATGATTGGTTTTGTTTCTTACAAATTTTCTGTTTAGCTGTATGTTTCTTAATCTTTGCTCTATCTTATTTATTCTTTTAATCTTTGGATATAAAGTTACTTTCCTACCGTAGGCTTTACACAAAAGCCGAGCTGAATTCTATATGAGCTTAAGTTATAGAAGATAAAGAAAAGTAATTAACAACTACCCAGTAGCTGTTCAACTTTCTGATCCTTTCCAAGTAGTTTCTGTATTAGTTTACCGCAAGCTTTAAAACATCCCGAATCCCTTTGTCAAATAGTTATTGTAGTCGATCACTAAGCTTGATTACTTTTCCCCACCATCTGTATTTAATATCTGATAACAATTTATCAATTTAAGAACTATTCAAAGTAACGTTGAAAACAGAAAATCATAAACAATTATCGGTTAAACTGCATTGTCATCAGTCAATAAAGTTTCAGTTAAATTGGAATATTTAAAATATGATGTACTTACTTAATTAATTAATAAATTTAATTAAGTCGTTATGCTAAAGTGCAGGATATCATTTTCATAACAAATAGTTAATTAATTCATGAGTATATTGACATTGATGTTTTTCAACATTTGGATGTGCTTGAGACATTTTATTTTTATTTTTTTATCCTCTACCTGACTATTAGTGGCAAATAGGGGAATGGAGGTATTATTCTACAGTTAACTAATCTATTCTAACAAAAGAGTGAAGATAGAGATTCCATCCGTGGGTTCTTATCATTTTCGAGGCTATCGCCGCTTGTTCGAATCCAGTCTGGGCATGTTTAACTTTATTTCGTACCTCTAGCCTTCACAGTCTAGGCAATCGCGGTCTCAATATACTCGTACAACAGGGCTCGAGACTGACTAGTTTTAACACAATGTGTAAAGTGTTAATTTTACTGACGTATATCTGTTATTCTTTGTCGAATAGTAGATGTTCAATACGATGGCTTTGGGTCTAAAGATGTAGACCATAGTATTTTCTGTATTAGTCGTTTCATTATTTTTCAGAAATTTCTTCAAACCGTTATTGTTTTTTCTTTAATAAATAAATCTTGGATATTTCCATAGTATTATATTTTCGGATCGACTAAATGTTCCCAGCATGTACTGTGATCATTTACATGAATCAGATTTATCAAGATCAATTTGTGATCGACGGTAATTGCCTCTTTGTTTCATTCGCTTTGATATATCATATATAATGAAATAGAGACACTTCTTAAAGTCAATGATGTTCACTAAATATAAAACATTAAATTAAAAAAAACTGCTTTCGTAATAAACCAGTTTGGAAGTGTTTTACTTCGATTTTTCGGTGTTTTCGGGGCAGGATAAAGGCCGGAGATCATTAATGACTGATTAAAATGTCACCGATACCGGGATTTGAACTAATAATCTTCAGGTTATGCGGTTGCTCATATTACAAACGCGTTAGCCCGCCGTCACAGCTGATTTAGGACAGATGTCTTTGAGTATAATTTCACTAGAAAATAACAATCTCACATAAATGGCAGTAAATCGTAACTAAGCATCTCCCAGAAAAAGTGGTATACGTCTGAAGGAAATAAATAAACTTTGATACTGGATATTGACAATATAGTGAAATAATGATAGATGGGTGCCACCTTGAATATATTTCAGTGTCATAGTCAGAATATTTGTATTAGATCACATTTTGATGTATTTAATTTTGGCTTAAGCTGTCAAATTTTAATGTATATGTATAAATTTTAAAAAAATATTATTTTATGAAAAATTAAACCTCTTTATCAAAATAATTAACATTAACAGGAGTTCACGATTAGTTGCCTTCAAGGTACAGTGTTATTAGTTATATTTCTTCCCAATTTGTTCATGATGTTGGTATAACAGACAGTTATTTTTCCTCAAAACCCAAGATATTTCCCTTGCAGTAATAAGTATCTAATTGTCAATCAATATCTCACAATGTTCTTATAGACATATGTTTATATTAAGGACTCGTTAATCCTCAATGCTCTCATTTGGTTTTCTTTTCATTTTCCAGCTATCTTGAGGTCTTTGTGCAACGAATTCCTTTCTGCTAATGTATCCGCTATCCTCTATCTGATGAACTACGAGAAGTACGGCCGAAGTACAGCATCTGCACAGTACTTCCTCCAGCTGGCTGGGTACCTGGGGATACCCGTCATCGCCTGGAATGCGGACAACTCGGGGCTGGAAAGGGTGAGTTTTGACATTTTAGAAATCAGATCCTAGATAAATTGTTTAGAGCAACTTAAAAAAAAATACAAAAAAAAATGAAGGTTTGTTCTTGATAATTGTGAACGCAAGTTTCATAAACAATGTGTTTATATAATAAGGCATCGAATTTCACCTAAAAGATTTTTTTTCGCTATAGTCTTCGAATTTAATTATTAATTTGAAAATTTCTTTTTAAAAAAAATAAATACAGATAATCTACAAATATGTTTGCTCCGTGGAACAAATTAGAGAATGCCTATAAATTTAATATTTAAATGAACTGCCTGAAAGAAGGCATGGTAGAGAGTACATAAATTATTATCTAATGAGACTAACTTATAATCAAAGAAAATTAATTTGTTCAAATTCGATAATGATCTTTTTCAGCATCCATTGACAAGAATTCTTAGATATCCTAACACAAATCATAGCGTTTATAACAATCGCCTTCGGAAGTATAATACTGAATCCTCGTCGTAAAATTCAAGAAAATCGAAGATGCATGGTTGCGCAATTTGTAAATCGAAATTATTTTCAAGAACTACCCCTTCGAGAACAAAATAATGGATTCTCATTTCGCAGGAATTCTAAAAGTTAATGAAAGTTAGACTCCCTTCAATGTGTATTATGATATGAGTATCAGGTGGGAACTACTGCCCCGGAGGCCGCATGTGGCCTCTGTGACGTAGTTCCGGCATCCAAACGTCTTTTCGCTATATTTATTAATTTAGTGCTAGAATAATTGATATTTAATTATTTAAGTAACAAAAATTTCTAAATTAACATAATTAACCTGTGTGTATGTATTTAGTAATAAATAAAAATAAAAATAGTAAAATATAAAGAATTATTGCGGCCCCCATTAGCACTGTCAAACCTTACTGCTGCCTTTTATGGTAAAAAGATTTCCCACCTATGATATTGGCTAATTAGGTAGGGAATTAAAATTAAACGGAATGGAGAAAGATCGTAGCCACTAATAAGGTACATTCTCCAAATTTCACCAGAACCTTACTTACCACCCAAATCCTCTTGCACAATCCCTATCAAGCACCTCCCATCCCTATAATCCTCCAAGCAGGTTGAAACGGCAGTGGCCTCGCGACCTTTTGTAGATTGTATAAATTGGAGTTCTGGCAATGGCCAGATTCTTCACTCAAGACATGTGTGTATGTGGCTAAAGTGCTCTCGACCAATCTCCGCTGGCTTTAGTACCAGTGACGCGGTTGGGAGAGTAGCGCAGGGTTCTCCTGGAGTTCCCTCGCCTGATTGTATATAGGTATGCATGTGTTTTTCTTTTCTTAGTTTTAATTTCTTATTTTTTAGATTATTTTATTTTATTGTCTATTGTATATACTTTTGATTATTATTTTGTTCTATTTGTTTTATTTGTTTGTACATATAGTGTGAATGTCATCCTACCTCACTATAACCAATGTCCAACAGACAGATTGTTATAATACTCAATAAAGAAATTAAAAAAAATAAATAAGGTACATACTGTTGACTGAATTAAATATGTCCGACTCTGATTATTATCAGGATTATTACCTAGGACTATTACCCAGTTCTGATCTGGATTTCCTTGCATATATATAAATATTCATTCTAAAACTTAATACAGAATTCTGGCTTCAACCCTCGCTAAAGTTAAATTGCTTCAAGTGCCTCGGTAATGCTTTACCAAAATAAAATTAGAATCCCCGGAAAGGCTGGTTAGATACTGAGGAGGTTTGGCTCATTCTCGAGAGGAAGATTAAGAGGGTGCATTAGTCTCCATGGCTACGGCCACCAACAGTTTAATGAAAGCACTTAGCATGCAAGGCTCGCCTGCTAATGCTAGCTCATTCGGTCCCTACTTTCTTCTGCAAAAAAAAAATGGTTGACCATTTTAATGTAAACAACTAAATAGCGGTTTTAACTAGGCTTACGATCTCATTTTTCAGTGATACTAGATAAATATATATATATATATATATATATATATATATATATATATATATATATATATATATATATATATATACAATTCATAAACACTTACAAAAAAATAAAAATTATATAATGAATATTTAATAGTTGACCGTTGCATTATAAAGGAAGGAGATGGTCCGGGGTTGCGGTCATAAATAGGCTAGTGGTAAAACTAACAATGCATGGAGACTAATAAAATAGTTTTACCACTATTTAGTCTATTTATGACCGCAACCGCGGACCAGCTCCTTCCTTCAAAAATTATATAATGGTTAATCCCATTTATTGTTTATTTATATATTTATATTTAGTCATGATATATAATATTTAGTCATCAACTTCTGCAATTATATCGTCTGCGATGGATTGGATGTTCTAAATATAAAACCTTATATGCTGTACCTATGATTGGTTAATTTCAAAAAAATCATTCACTAACATTTCATAATAATCAGCTGGTGTAGCGTTGTCCAAATGCTAGACTAGGACGAATCTTGGTCTTTCGCAAGAGTCTCGCAACAGTCTTTTAGTTACCTATTAGTCTATTACTATAGACATATCACTGTAGTTTTTCAGATAGGGGAAACTTAACGAAGCCCGAATGAAAAATTGAATGAGTTAAACAGTTAAAGTTTATTGGTTATTCCAATTATTTACATGTAGTAAATAAAATTGTCAAGTATTAGTAACTATTTTGCCTTAATTTTTATTTACAAAAACGATTTTTTTTACCAGGATTGTTCTTGGTCTTGCAAAATGCAAGGTCAATAACGAATTACTGATACACTAAGTTGGCGAGTATTTGGATTAATATTTCCAATCCAAAATTTGAACGTTGTTCACCTAGTCAAAATATTTTTTATACGCAATTAGGTTCGCATTGATGAGAACATAACAAACATGTATTTAGTACTTCATGCTTATCAACACTGTTTTCATTAGTGTTGCCCAAAATCGGTCAAAAGACCAACGGCGCCTAACTGTTGCAAGACCAGAACTGGTAAAAAAAAGCGATTTCTAAAAATAAAAGTTAAGGCAAAGTAGTTACTAATACTTGACAATCTTATTCACTTTATGTTAATAATTGGTATAACCAATATACTTTTGCATTTAACTTCTATAATTTTTCATTCGAGCTTAATTAAGTTTCTGCTATCTAAAAAATTACAGTAATATCTCTATAGTAATAAGCTAATAAGTATTAAATTCTCTTGCGCCAGGCCAAGATCATGACCAAGACTGAGTTTGCAATACCAAGACTCGTCTCGGTCTCGCATTTGAGCAACACTAGTTCTCATATACCCGAAGTGGCTCTTCCTCCCCACCCATCTACATTTTTTTCTTTTTATACCAAACTATCAACTCCCGCCACCATTCCTACATCTATATTTTTCTATAATCCAAACCCGTGGTCCATTCTCAGAAAACAAAAATCGTTTCCGCAGAACCTTCGATCGTTCCTTTCTTTCGCGCACCATTGTTTGGATTCCCTACTACCTAATATCTGGCACGATCCTTTCCTTTCTTTATTCAAACCTCTTTTGTTTTTATATATTTCTCACATCCAACAAAGAGGCTCTCCAATTTTCAGATTGTAATATATATATATATATGTTGCTTATATGAAATAAATAATAGCCCTATTATTTAAGTTTCAAATCTGGACTAAATTTATTGTTTTAATTTTCTTCTTTTTTTTTTTAAGACAATTATTTGTACTCTCGAGATGATTATCTTTTGTTGTGTTTATATTTTTAATGTTGAGAATCTATATATTGTATGAACTTTATAAATGTTTTTTGTCCAGTAATGTAAATATTTCTATTTATTTGTACATAGAAGCCCAGTGATCTCCTAGTGTAGACATATTATTAGAGTGCTACTAGTGGGTAGTTTCTTAACAGTAGTTTCTTAATAGTGTTTTCACTTCATTATATCCATTCGTACAAATTCACTAGATGTATTTCTTTAATACCGTTGTATATATCAGTAAATAAATAAAAAATTGTACATATCTGTTATTCTTAAGGGACCTAGTCCCAAAATAATTTTGTTTTCCATTATATTATATTTTATGCTAGTGACATTTTATAATAAGGAGGTTTGTGTAAATTTATATGCTTTAAACTAGATAGCAAAAAAAGATTTTGAAGACTTTTTGAATCTTAAGATTTAATTATTGTCGTAATTTAATTTAATATTAGCTATAAAAATATAAGTATTTTGTTTTTAATTACAAAATGTTGACATGTGGAAATAAATTTTTAAAGCGAAAAAAAAACTTAAATTAGAGGATTTAACCTTTAACTATCATTACGAGAAATCCTATTATTTTAATTTTTACAAAATATTACTTTTGTTCTTGTTTCACTGTTGTTTAAATTTTAATTATTATTAATGTATATTGTTTTCGGTCTTTCCGCCTTTCCAAACAGACCTGAAGCTTTTTTTTTTTGGAGTAGGATAGGAAACGAATTTTAGGATAAAAAGAGGAAAAGCGTTTTTTTTATTTTAATAAACGAAATTAATGATAACAAATTTTCTATTTTTGCCTTCTCTTTTAGATTGCAGTTTTTAATTGATTTTTTTTTTAATGATATTGAAAAATATTACAATCTGTCTCAAGGACATTTATAATAGTGTTTACAGATCACATTCACACTCTATGTACAGTAAATAAAATAAATTATATAGAAAAATAATATATATACAATAAATAAGAATAAAATAACCTAAAAATAAATAAATAAGAAGAACACATACATACCTATATACAATATTTAATTGATTTAAGTCTAAATATCAACAATTCTCATTTTCGAAAATCATCAATTGTAACTATGATTTGTTAGAATCGGTATGCATGTGTTTTTTTTTTCTTAGTTTTAATTTTCTTATTTTTTAGGTTATTTTATTTTATTATCTATCGTATATACTTTTGATTATTATTTTGTTCTATTTATTTTATTTTTTTTTTACATATAGTGTGAATGTCAACTACCTCACTATAACCAATGTCCAAGAGACAGATTGTTATAATA